ACCCTAAACACTAGTAAGTGTTACTGCATTACTTTTACAAAAAATCATAATCAAATAACACATAACTACTCTCTGAATAACAATACATTAATTAAACGTGTTACCGAAATTAAAGACCTGGGAATCGTGTTTTGCTCAGATCTTTCGTTTAATAATCATATCAATCTTATAGTTAATAGAGCAATGAAAATGTTAGGCATGCTGATAAGAAACTCTAGATCGTTATCTTTAGATGCCTGTAGAATGGTTTATATTGCATATGTGCGGTCCATTTTGGAGTACAGCTCTACCATATGGTGTCCATTTTACATAAACTCTGTAAAAAGGATTGATAATGTCCAAAATAAATATCTACGATATTGTGCCTTTAAAGTTGGTCTAGCAGCAGGTACATATAATTATTCCACAATTCTGGATTTAATAAACCTCCCAACCCTTGTTAATAGAAGAATATTGATGGATCTATCATTCCTCCATAAGATCATAGCCGGGATTATTACTTCTGATGAGTTATTAGCTATGATTGAATTTAGAGTTCCCACAAGAACTACAAGAAATAATAGTTTATTTGCCATTCAACTTCACCTTACCAATTATGCTTATCATGCACCTCTACCTAGACTAATGCGACTGGCTAATCAATACAATTTAGACATCACTGGGTGTTCTATTAGTCAATTTGTGAAGGATGTAAAGAGAATTTGTTTTTAATATCTTTAGTTTAGTTTATTACATTTCATATATGAAATTTTAGATTTATTGTGCCTACCTTTTTTTTTTTTTTTAATGTACTTAAGCTATTTTATTTTATGTAATTTATTGATACTAATGGATTATTCCGTAATATATATATTTATTTATTTATTTATTTATTTAAGTTCAATTCTTTCTTGTAAACTGTAAACCATTTTCAAATCAAATAAATAACCTCAACAAATCAATGTGCACATGTATCAAAATACACTATAAAAGTAATTTAAATTCATTTTTCAAATCTCCAATACCTTTACCATGTATCATAAAAAACTTCAACAAGTTTTTAGCGGTACGATTAAGGTATAATGTATTCTAAATCCAATTTTGCTGCAGTCAGTAAGGTGAGATGTAAAAATTTGTCACTCAAATAATGGAACCCTGTAGATCATAAACTAATTATTTTAAACCCCATGTTTTATACATTTTTGAAATCAGTTAAACGAGAACAATCCAAAAATGGATAAAAAAAATGGGGGAAGCCATTTAAAAAATTGAAGGGATGATAGTAGGGGTGAAAGGGTGACTTTTTCAGCAAACTTAAATATGGCACGATATCTCCCCCTTCGTATATTTATTGACGTATTTTTTTGTTTTTTGTAATAATCAGTCCTTCAAAAGTTACTTAAGGTGGATACTTTTATCTGAAAAGCACTGTATATAAACTAAAATCATTTTCTGATCTTATAAAACCAATTTCCAATAAGTAGGTATTTATCTCAGAATTCCAACACCTGGATGATTGTTTTTAACCGACTTCAAAAAAGGAGGAGGTTATCAATTCGTCGCGATATTTTTTTTTTTTTTGTATGTATGTATGTTCAGCGATTATTCTTTAACACGGTGTCCGATTTCAATGATTCTTTTTATGTTAGAAAGGGGGTATTTCAGGGGTGGTCCCATATAAATTTAGTCAAAATCTAATAATTGGGTCCATGAGAAAATCCTCAAATTCTTCATTTTTTATGTATGTTCAGCGATAATTTTTTAACACGGTGTCCGATTTCAATGATTCTCTTTTTGTTAGAAAGAGGCTATTGTAGGGGTGGTCCCATATAAATTTTGTCAAAATCTAATAATTGGATCCATGAGAAAATCCTCAAACTCTTCATTTTTTATGTATGTTTAGCGATAATGCTTTACCACCTTGTCCGATTTATACGATTCTTTTTTTGTTAGTAAGGGGGTATCTCAGGGGTGGTCCCATATAAATTTGGTTAAGATGTGGCATCGCACGTTTTTGAAGTCGGTTTTTTTTAATTTTTAATTTGTAATACTTGTAATCCATAAAGGGACTTCTTTAACTTAAAAATCTTTTTATTATCACAATATACACCCTTTGGTGGATAAATATAAACATCTTTATCTATTTTTGCATTTAAAAAGGCTGACCTTACATCCAGTTGTTGAAAGTGAAATAATAATTGATTTCCTATAATTAATAACAATCTAATTGCTGTCATGCTTGCTACTGGCGAATACAAATCATTATAATCAATATCATTTTGTGCAAACCCTCTTACAACTAACCGTGCCTTGTATTTATCATTTTTATTGTCCTCCAATCTTTTATAAGCATATAACCACTTTGTATCTATGATTTTACTGTCCCGTGGTTTTTCTACAATCTCCCAAGTATCGTTTTTTGATAGCGACTCTAACTCTATTTTCATAGCTTTCTCCCATTTACTCCTATCATCCCTATAATCAATTTCATTAAAACTCTGTGGCACATCATCAATAAATTGCATTGCATTAAGAGCCATATATAATTGATAATCTTTATATCTTGCAGGTGGTTTTGTTTGACCTTTACCCTGTCTAGAATCATTTTCATTATCTATATCACCTGTTTTATTTTCACCCTCTATATTATTTTCAGTAATATCGAACCTTTCAAATCTGATCCTTTATTTTCTTTCATCTGATCATTTCCCTCAATTAGTAATTCTGCATTATTTTTGTTGTAATAGAAGCAACTTTCATCAAATTTTACATCCCTAGAAATTAAAATGTTTTGCCTTTTAACATCCCATAATCTATAACCGTTTGTTGTATATCCTACCATAATACATTTTTCAACTTTAGAGTCAAATTTATTTCTTTCCTCTTTTCTCAAATGACTAAGCAATAGTCCCAAAAATCTTTAAATTGTTAATATTAGGTTTACGATCATACCAAACTTCTGCAGGAACTTTATCTTTTAACTGATCTGTTGGTGACCTATTTATAACATAATTTACATTTAGAATAGCTTCATTCCAAAGCTCTTTTGGTACCCCTGAATTTTTTATATTTGCCCTAGCTCTTTCCACCAGGCTCCTATTCCACCTTTCTGCTTTACCATTCTGTTGCAGTGTATAAGGAACTGTGTAATCTTAAATAACCCCATTTTGTTTACAAAATTCACGAAATTCGTTTGATATATACTCCCCCCCATTGTCACATCTCAATTTTGAGATTGAAAAACCAGACATGGACTTTTGTCATCAGAAAATATTCTTTGAATTTAGAAAATGCCTCACTTTTATATTTTAAAGTATAAACTGATGTAAAATTGGAGAAATCATCAATGAAAGTAATAAAATACTTACTGCCATCATGTGCAGCAGGCGTTATTGGTCCACATATGTCCGTATGGACTATTTCCAACAACTAGTACTCCTATGTCTAGAACCAAAAGGTTTTCTCGTCATTTTTTCGGCTGTACAAGCTTCACAAAATTCTACTGGTGAAAATTTAACATTACCTATACCTTCAACCATATTTTTATTTATTAATAACTTCAAACTAATAAAATTTAAATGACCAAACCTTTGATGCCATCTTTCGAACTCATTACTTTTAACATTTACATTGTGACACTCATTTTTAACGACATCATAAGTTATCTCATATAAACAATTTCTCTTTCCCAAACTTATTATTTCATTTTTATAAATAAACTTGACTAAACCCTCTTCAAAAATTATTTTTATGCCTGCCATTTCTAGTCTTTTGACAGATAGCAAATTCTTTCGTAAATCTGGTATGTATAATACATTTTTAATATTACAATTTATTTTCTTCTCCCCAACTGTACTTATGACATTAATATTGCCTACCCCAATAGCTAATAAAAACTTTCCATTCTTTGCAATTGAAATTTCAATTGGTTTATTTAAAATAACAAAATCCGAAAATAGTTTATTTATTTGTCATGGCATTGCCCTCTGTAGTTCTGATTTTGCATATGTCCTCTAGGATTTTCATTTCTATAATATCCCTGATTAGAAAAACTTGTCAGCGCCCTGCATTCTCTTAAAATGTCCAACTTTCCCACACCTGTAGCATCCTCCTTCACATTTGCTATTAAACGCTGTTTATCATACTGTCTTTTCCCTAAATTTCTCTTTTCTTTTTCACTTATTAGTTTTTTCTTCACATTTTCATATGTTAATACATCATTTGGTAAATTTTCTACATCTGTCGAAACCATTTTGTATGATTTTGGGTAAGTAATAAATTACAAATGATATCCTTTTCTTCTATCTTTACACCTGTAGCCTTCAATTGTCTGATTACCTCTTCAAAATTTCTGCAACGATTCTCCTTCTTTTAGTTTCATTTGTAACAATTTTTTCTTTAAATAAAGTTTCATAAGTGTGTTGACATGAAAATTTTTTTACCGAATACTGAAAAATTTATATACTGCAAACAACATTGAATTATCAGGTACCTTAACATTGTATCAACAGTTTCATAATTGTGTTAACACGAAAACAATTGTATCGAATTCTGTAGATTCTTAGGGTATTTTATTTTTTTTTAAATGTATTTGTCAATGATATTGGTCAAGTTGTTAAACATTTAAAACATATATTTATGAACAACCTGAAACAGATTGTAATTTTTTGCATGCAGATATTGATAGATTTTCCAAGTGCCCTTGACCCGATCACCTCAAAATGTTACTTAATTACTTTTTTGTACAAAAGTATCTCTAATTTCAAATGAACACTTGATAAAATTATTCTTGATTTTTTCACTATTTTATCTTATTGTGGTTTCTTACACCTATTCATTAGTATCTTTAAATATAATTATGCAATACTAACAATTACATAAATAAAAAATTTAAAAGAACACTAAATATAAAATTAAAAGTTAATTACAATCGTACAACAAAATATCGATAATAAAATATTTGATAAAATTATTTTATACAATTATAGGTTTTACAAATATATGACTTTTAATTTTTTTAGTGATGGAACCACACAACAACTTGCTGGGTGTTTAAGAGATTTCCGTAACAAACCCTTTCCCACCAGAGCAAGAATAGAATATTTCCAAAATACTCTGACTGTGCTATTTCACAATGGCATGACTAACAATGAACAGGACTACGATATGTGTCTTAGGGCTGAAAATGTTGTACTGCCTAAAGGTGGATATTTTGGAGTTTCTGCCGCAACTGGAGGTTTAGCTGATGATCATGATGTTATACACTTCCTAACCAACAGTTTACATTCTACTGATCAAGCACAAGCCAATCAGTGTAAGAAATGTCTTATTTTTTAAATGAATAGTGCCACCTAAAATGTATAAAAAAGTAAAGTTTTATTTAATGTACATTTTCTTTAGATGTAGGAGAAGATCAACAAAAACTTCAACAAGAATATCAAGATTATCAACAAAAATTAGAACAACAAAAAGCAGATTATAGAAAGGACCATCCTGATGAAGTAATTATTTTTTTGCACATGTGCTACATAATTTTTACTTTAACATGTAACTATAATATTCAAGAGCTTTATTATCATATTGTATCCGTTTTAGAAAGAGCCGGAGATGGAGGATTGGTATGAATCAGACTCTCAAAGAGAGCTTCGACAAATTTTCCAAGGACAAAATCAAATGTATGAGGTCCTTAGAGAACTGAATAAGAAACTCGACGAGGTTGTGGGAAGACAGGAGAGGACAATGAGCTTAATATCGCAGCATGGAACTGGAGTACAAGGAGCTGGAGCACCTCCGCCACCTCCAGGTCAGCCCATACATGCAGGAGACACTATTAGAAGACATGAAGTAGATGCAGTATTTAATAATCAAAATCTTGTGATTGGTTATATAAAAGAAATTAAGTAAGTAAAATCAAATGTATTTAATATTTCACAAGAGGGAATACTTTTTTATGTATAAAAAAATTTTAATCTTGTATTCTCTTAATATTTAAGAAATAAGACATTTCTTTTTATATTATTATAAATGTACAGGGTATTCAGAATTTTGATAAGTATTTAGTCTGAAAGTATGAGATAATACAAAAAAAATTACTTTGCTGTAATCTGTCAATAGTACTCAGTAAAAAAAAATGTCAGAAATGTGTAACAGAGTTACCATATGTTGAAAGAATCATTCCTTTCATCGCCCAAATTATGCAAATCAATTGTTTAAAATACGTAATTGTTGCTCAACGCTATAATATTTCACAAGTAAGATCATTTATCTTGGAGATAAAATACAATAATTAACTTAGAGGTGCTGTATTTAAAACTATTTTTTGTGGGAAAAGTTTTTCGATATTAGTCTGCATTTTATGCCGTTGCACTACTTTTTTCAATTCGAAGCAAATCTGTACAGGGTGAGTCAAATTTCAAATACATATTTTTCTGATTTTTTACCATTTAAAAGTATCTTAATTAAAGTACCTAATTAAAGTTTCATTTGAGTTAAGAATTCCCTATAACTAAAGTTAATAATTTTAGGAGATTTATAAATTTTGGTTCAATTGTTTCTTTTACATTATAAAGGTCATTGAAATAAATATGAAACTGTGTGTAAAATACCCTGTATAATCTCATACTCTTTGGTACATAGATAAATTATGTAAGATATACCGTTTAAATGCACAGCACTGGTAACAAGTTGTTAGTTCCTAGCCACACTATTTGGAGCGACCTTCGCAAACTACACATTGGCTGATTGACTTGACAGTTAGAGGCAGCATATAAGAAGAAAATTAAAAAAGAGTGGCAAGCGTAACCGCGGTTCATTCAAATGTCCTTTATTATTTATTTATATTATTTGACATTCATTAACCAGTAGAGGAAAGGAGGACAATCTTATATGGTTGTTTATATCAAAAAGTATTCACCAAAATGTATAAAATTAAGATGTCGTCGTGTACTAGAAGGGACAAATCCAATTATTATATAGGGGTCTATTCTGTAAAACATACGTTAAAATTTAGCGGCATTTAAAAATTTAACATTTAGCAACAAACAATGATATTCTGTATACAAATATTTTAGAGATATGTAAAAAATTATTCATTTTAACGGAGTCGCTTAAAAATGACAGGAGAACACTTGACTACATTGCATGTAAGATTCATTAGAATTTTGACGGATTAGAAGAATAAATTTGAAAATAACCATACAAAAACCCTCAAAACATACCTACATACATTTAAAATAAAAAACGTCTCACGCAACGAGAACTAGGTACTAACGAGTTGATAAACTTATTAAAACAGCAACATTTGCTTCACGGTGGGAAAATAAACCCAATAGATAAAACAAAATTAAAAAAGTTTGGGAAAACGTTGCAGCCGAATTAAATAAAATTGGACACAAACATCTAGGAAAATTATTTTTGTCTTGAAATCTGTTTATTATTGTAAATTATATTTTTGTTACTTTTTCTACTTCTTGATTGGCTAAAAGCAAAATTATATATCTGTCCTATAGATAGTTCGATAGTTTATATCTTCCTGTATCAAAAAATCTAATGTGTCCAACACATGGCTTTCCTATCTAGTTATTACAGGCTTTTTCTGGTTATTTTGTACAACCTATTTTAGCACATCTTTAAATATTTATGGGTTAACTAAATATATACATTTTCCATATAAATTCTTCCTCAGATAGAGGAAGTGTATTATATCAAAAACCGGCTCCCAACAAAGTTATAGGGCGTTAAACTAACATTTAGAAAAACGTTTTTTTTTTTTTTTTTTTTTTTTTTGTAAAAAGTTTGCTGTTGCGATTTTTTCTATGAAATTTTTGCCAGTGCTGTAGATTTGAAGGCCCAATATTCTAAAGAGAACAAAAAATTAAAGTGACCCCTTTAAAAAAAGTTGGAGGGTTGGGTACCTTTTAACACCCCGTATTTTTTTGACATAAAGAAACTTGCTTTATCGATCTTAAAATAAAAAAGAACTATGAATTTTGAATTTTTTTTATAGCGAAATAAACTTTGTATCTTTCTTAATTAACGAGCTATTTACAATTTTTTAACTGAATTTCTAGAGCAATTCGTCCGTCCTGGACTTAACATATCAACAAAACTAAGAGTAGGTCAGGAGTTATTGTACAAAAAACGCATATAAAAATCAGTAGTGTGCCTAGGGCTGTGCTTGAACTGCCCTTGCAAAACTACCTCTTTTAATTATATTTTTGTAAAAAAGGTATTTATAATATTGGATTGGTGCCATAAAAATGGTGTGCCACCCGTCCTCATGGGTTCACTATGCCACTGATAAAAATACACGTTAGTTTGGAAATGTATTTATTAAATTTAATAGTAATTAAAAGAATTATTTTTTTAATTAAACAATTAACAAAAAATTAACAATTAAAACTAAACACTTGACAATAATTATTATAAATTTTTTATAAACTATTTAATTTAGTAAATGTTCAACATGTCCTCCTCCTTGAATACAAAAATATAAATAAGTCATATGAAGAGCAAACATCATTCTTCAAAAAAACTTTGTCTGTGAATGAAAAATCTTTACTTGCCTCTTACAAAAAAGTATCATATAAAATAGCCAGATGTAAAAAGGCTCACACCACTTACAAAATTCCTTTATTTACAATATGTACATTTAAATGGTATAATAACAATTAGCAACATATATGCAGCGGATATCTTCTTAACTGCGTCTAGGAAATATTCCTAACTGCGAAGACCTCAGGCGAGGCCATGACCGATGTCTTGGCCGTGTAATTAAAAGTTAATATTTAATATTAATAATTTCCGTGACCTCTCCTTACTTATCAAAAGCATTAAACAGGGTTGGCAAATATCATGATATTTATTATAAATATCAAAATATCGGATATATACGATATATATCGGATATATATCAAAATTTGATATATATCAGATTGTCTCAATTAACTTTTGAGAAAATCCTTTTGGAGGATAATAGGCGTGGTTAATAAGTAATAAAAACAAAGAAGTATTTAAAGTGTATAATGATGAAAAAATATATTAATATATTTCTTCGATTTTTGCAGATTGTCGAGTATTTTTGACAGTAAATTTAATAACAGAATTCAATTTTTATTTATAATTACACACTTTTTAATAAGTTTTTGTTTTCATTTATTATTTTTAGAAAATGTTTGTTACTTTTAACTTTTAATTTACTTCAAATAAAAACTATGACAAATTAATTTTATAAAAACAAAATAAGAAGAAGAAAATCAGTCCGATTCGGAGTTTGGTTCTTGTTCCTCTGGGTTATATTTACTACAGGATGCCACAGGAACTTCAAGGTCTTGTTGCTGATTGTATAACCAGTCCAAATTGGTGGCTTTCTTGGAACAGTCCTGATTAAGAAATTTAAAAATAAAAGTTAATTTGGCAGCTTTGTCAGTTCCTAGTCTATTTCTTAGTTTGGACTGTACAAGTCCAAATGTGGAAAAAATTCGTTCCAATCCGGCAGATGATGCTACTGCAGTAAGTAGCTTTGAACACATTTCTAAAAAGGTGGGTTGTAAATTTGTCCACCAAGTCATTGGGGGCGTGCTTTGAAAAGCAGACGCAAGCATAAACTGAGGAAACGGTTTTGACCCTGAATTTAATGCCATTACCAATAGGTATAAAATTGTTATTTATAGTCTCTAAATACTGATATGCTAGATTCTTTTCTTCATTATTTAAATTTCTCCCTCTAAAGCGATGGTCGCATAAATTTGCTAAATAATGGCTTGGTGTTAAAGCCATCTCCTTTCTAGTTCGAAAGTGTTCGAGCACATTACGTGGTTGTCCTTGTAAATCTTCTTCTAGTTTTTTCCAAATTTCTACACTAACGGCTATGGTAGTTCCATCCCTTTGCATGCGATCCAATGAAATTGCAATCGGCTCCATACGCTTTAAAAACTCTTTTGCATTTACTGTGATATTTATATCATTTACAATACGGAATATATCACGATCAATGGCCTCCTTATGATCTTGACAAACTTGTACAAGTATCCCTCTATTTTCTAGGTACGATTTTAATGTATCAGTTACAGTGTTCCATCTAACTTCTTGAGGAAGGACAAGCATTTTCCCTTGCGCTCTCTTGTACCAGGCTAAAGGTAAATGCTTGTTTCTAAAGTATTTTATAACTTTTATAATATGTTCCTTAAGGCCCTGAATCTGTATATCCTCTGCCAACAAGTTGAGAATATGAGCCGAGCATCCATATTGTATAACATCAATTTGAGGTGTGGCTGCTAGAAGTTTTCTCATTTTTGCAACGTTTTTGGCATTATCAGTCACAATGCTTCTTACTTTCGCACCAAAAAATGTTTCGATATGTATAACAGCATCAGAAGCGACTTCCTTTAAGTAATCAGCTGTATGTGAATGTCCAGAGGTATCTACAGTTTTAATTAAGTACGATTCACCATATTTATTTATAACAGAACAGCAAATTATTGGTTCATTATGAACATTTGACCATCCATCAACTGACATTGATACAACTTCTCCTTTTAATTTATCTTTACATAGTTCTGTAACATCATTATATACTTCGTCCAATAAATCATTTCCAATTTGCCTTCTGGAAGGAGGCTTGTATCCTGGTCTTAAAACTTTACACATTTTTTTGAACTCGTCATGCTCTACATGTCTAAATGGTATATTCGTCGCAAAGAAAAATTTGCCAATTTGTAAATCAATGGTGTGTGCATATGATTTTGATGTTAAAATTACGCTGACGTCCTTAGCAACATTTAATTTATTTATATCTAAGCAGGGCTTTTTTTTTCGGCGGTTTTACTGTTGATGATAATATCGTTACTGAAAGAGGAAGTAAAATATTATTTTTTAAATATAGATATAATTATTGGTCGGC